CGGCCAGCATCTCCTGCAGCAGCAGCCTCCAGCCATGCGAGCTATCCCTCTTGAGGTTGCAGATTTTTGTTATGAAGTCCTACAACATTTTAAAAATAAATTGTGGTAAAATATGCTGCACATTTGTAATCCCAGAAACCCAGGAGGCTGAGGCAGGAGGATCTCAAATCAAGGCCAGCCTCAGCAACCTAGCAGGATCCTGTCTCAAAATGAAAAATAAAAAGGGCTGGGGATTTGGCTCACCCAGCTGCAGATGACTTTTGCAAGACTGTGCTTTCCACTTTCGACCCCTACCTGTCTCTGAGTCCGACGCTGGCCCGAGTGGCCCAGCTTAAGTGCAAACACATAGAGATTCGGGCTTCAATGCTGGCGTGTGTCCCTTGGTGTCACTTCCTCAAGCAGAGCTGCGCAATGTGTCTGCTCTGGCCCTGTATTCCCCACACGTTCAGTTATTTTTAGTGTGTAGTTTTACAGAACACGAGGCTTTGGGCTGCATATCTAGTCTTTTAGCAAAGATACCTCTACATGTCAATCACTTGGATGGGCACCTGAATTAGCCAGCAAATCCAGAAATTACGATCATCGCTTAAGACCTTCTAAAAGTGGCCCTGGGCCTGTCAGATTTCAAACTCCATTCTCTATTCTCTTGAAAGGGCAAAATGTAAGACAAATACGGGAAGTGAGAAATGCATTCCCTTCATACAGAAAAACCGTACCCACAAAGCCACCTAAGATCCATCCCCGCCTGCTGGGAGAGGCAGTCAGTCACAAGACCCCCAATTCACAGAGGCTAAGTTTGCTGATCAGGGAAGGTGACTTTCCTGAGGTTATATGGTTTACTGTGGGGGTTAAATAAAACTCAAGGCACTCGTCTCTGGGTGTATTTGGCGGGGTGCTGGGGATTGAACTCAGGGCCTTGAGCAGGCTAAGCACAGGCTTTACCACTGGGCTCCACCACAAGGCCATTGTTCCTGGATTTATTTTTTTATTTTTTATTTTTTTGGGGGGTTGTAGATGGACATAATACCTTCCTCTATTTATATGTGGTGCTGAGACTTGAACCCAGTGCCTCACACATGCAAGGCAAGCGCTCTACCACTGAGCCACAACCCCAGCCCCTGCTCCTGGGTTTAAGTGGACATCTAATCCATTGGGGAACAAACATCTCAAAGGACAGATGAGGCTGGGGACAGGGCGGGGGCAGCTCCCAAAGGCGGTATGGTGCTGGTACAAGTCATCAACCAGTTCTCATTAGGGGGCTGACTGGCGTCATCCCTGGGTGAATGTTCCCACCAACACCGATGGCAAACCCCCATGAGGCTGGGAAGAGAAGCGCACAGTGGGCCCCGAGCCGGCAGGTGACAGCACAGCCCCTTGACATGAGCTGGGTGACATGAGCTGGTGACATTGAGCTGGGCGTGAGGAGGCCTATATCAGAGTCCCCAGCAGGAACCAGCTCTGGGCACTGTCTATCCTTTCCCTAAGATGGGGTCAGTGACCCTGCCCCCAGAGCTGACTGCCGCAGGCCTCTCAGCCTGGCCCGGAGCCTCCCCTCTCCCTGGCAGGAGACCCTCAGGCCAATCTCTACATTTCTGTGGCCACAGAATTCAGAGGTGTGTGATGAGACCTTCAAACTGGGTCCCACAATCAGGGTCACCTGAATGCATGGCCTGGTGGCAAAGACCCTGGGAAAGTGGGTTAGTTTACCGAATGTCACCAGTTACAGGGCTCACGAGAGCTTTATGAACTGAGGTGGCAGATCCCTGGTGCAGGGTGAGGCATCAGGTGGGGAAAACCCTACTACTCATCACAAACCTGCTTGTTCCGGGAGAGCAGAGTCCTGACAGGGCAATTCTCACAACTCGGAGATAAAGAGGCTTGTGCTGACAGCAGGATGTCCACATTTCAGTGTCTTGTTTTAGTGAACTCCTGAGACTCAGGTGCCAAGATCCATCTCCATGGATGTGGCAGTTTTGTTTGTTTGTTTGGTTGGTTGGTGCTGGCGAATTAAACTCAGGGTGCTCGACCACTGAGCCACACCCCCAGCCCTATTTTGTATTTTCTTTAGAGACAGGGTCTCACTGAGTTGCTTAGCACCTTGCTTTTTGCTGAGGCTGGCTTTGAACTCACTATCCTCCTGCCTCAGCCTCCCGAGCCACTGGGATTACAGGTGTGCCTGGCTAATGCAGCAGTTTTAATGGACTAGGACACTCTGCCCTGACTCAAATCCCCTAGAGGCAGGCCTGAGAGCTGCTTCCCATGCCCACAGCCCAGGAGGACCGCTGGGCACCAACCAACTCAGGCCTGAGGAGTGGGAAAGATGAGGGTGCTTTTGGGCTTCATTTTTACAGGAGAAATGGCAGAGGATAGGGCCGAGGCCCAAACAGCCTGCGGGACGGGAGGTCCTAGAAAAGAATGAGAAGGCCCCCCTCCACCCCTAGAGCAGCAAAAGGTGGTCTGACTCATGGCTCTGAATCCGAACTCCACTTGGGGCTAGCCTGGAACACCATTCTGTTCCAGCAGGTTTAGCCTTGAACCACACGTAAGCCTGGAGTCCCTCTCCTGGATTCATCTTGAGTAGGAGAAGAAAACAAATCTCCAGCTACCAGAGAAGAAGACACTCTGTCCCAGGGTGGAATGATTCAAGTTAATTTAGTGATAGGGACCTGAGAAATATCACCGATCACAAAAGCACAGCACTACTGATATTGACTTCTGGGATGCTACTTTTCCATGGCGCATGCCAGTTTACAAAACAAAATCTCATCTTCTGCGTCACGTTATGTCCTCATAACCCGTGGGCAGGCCAGGCAGGTTTCGGGGGCGTCCAGGACTTCTCTAAATGTTAGCCTGTGTGTTTTTTTCATGCACACATGCCCATTTTTCCTGGGTGACAGTCCGTAGTTTTTGAGCTGTTCTCAAAAGACTCCATGACTTAAGAGTTAAGAGCCACTGTCCCTGGTGAAGGCAGGGGTGGTGTCTCATTTGTCTCTGTTCCGGCACAGAACAAGTGTGAGCAGATGAGCAAGGGCTTTTTACCTGGAAGAAAACCAAGGCTCAGGGTGGGCTCCTCACCTGCTAAGGCCACACGGCTCAAGGTGTGACCCTCTGACTCCAGGCCCCCGGCAGGCACTGTGTGGTCTTCAGCCCCTGCTGAAGTTATGACCTTTCCTTTCTTCCATGAAACAAGAGAGCAAAAGCAATGGGGAGAGGCTGCTCCGGGGCAGAACCTGCTGGCCACGCCAGATTGATGTCCATTCTCTGAGCACCACGTCAGAGCTGTGAGGTGAGTGCTCAGGCCAGGCCCCCTGCAGCTGGGGGGCGAACTGCATCTCCCTCCACCTCCCAGCCTCAGAGCTGAAAAACAGTGCCAGATGGTGCCCGACACAGGCTGCCGATCTCCATAACAACCCGCGCGAACCACTCACCCTACCACCAACCTCCCTGGGGACCCGAGGGACAGCTGTGCCACCAGAAGGCTGGGCTTTCTTGCCTCAGCCCAGGTCTTTGCATGGGCTGCACCTGTGCCTGGGAGACCGCACCCCCCACAGCCCTCAGGATAAAGTGCATCTCAAAGTCCAGGATCTGCTGCATCGGGGGACAGGTGGTGCCCTAACCCCCAGGCCCAGCAGCCTCCCAGCTGGACCATGTAGTGCAGGTATCCAGTCAGCCAGGGACTCAACACTCCCAAACTGCTGCCCATTAGGCCAGGGTGGAGCAGGGCTGGCTGTAGCCCTGTGCCTGGAGCCAGAGGGACACACACTTCACCCAGGAAACCAATGGAAGCACAACTTCCAGAATGAAGCCCACGAGGCCCTGCACACACCAAGGTCCCTGTGGGGCAGGTGTACACTCAGCTTCCCCAGCCCTTCCCCACCGGGCCTCAGCACCCTGCTTCTCTTGCCCACAGCACTAAGCAGGGAGACTGGGATTGTTTCTTAGTGTCCCCACCAGACCAGAAGTACAGGAAAGTGGGGCCCAAGTGGCCCCTGATACATCTGTCAGATGGAGGAGGAAAAAAGAGAAGGAACTTCCTCCTCGAAGGAAGAGGGAAAGGATGGGAGAGAAGCCGGGAGAAGACCGACAAGCAGTGGAACCCACTGCAGGCGCAGGGTCCGCCCCAGCAGAACAGCAAGGGCCACCAGGCGCTCCTGCCTGAGGGCAAGGAACAGGGAGATCCATGGGATCCTCGGAGACCACCAGGGCCCAGGACAAGCGGGTCAGCAACAGCACACGGGCCAGAAAGAAGGAAGCAGTAGGAAGTCCACCCCAGGCCCTGGAGGCCTGAGCAGCCACCAGGGGGCAGCCTCGGCAAGGCTGACCTACGGAGGGGACAGCAGGTCTCCGGTGAGTCACACCAGTTTCACAGAAAGTACAGGTCTGACTCCCAGTTACACCTCTGGATATTGCCTAGGGACATGGTCAAAAGCTGAGCCAAGCCTGAGTCCCAGGGACAGCACCCCTGCCCTCAGGAGCCTCCAGGCCCTGATCATGTCTCTTCATCTCCTGTTCCGCAAAGGGAGAAGCAACATCGGAATCCACACCCCACCTTTACTCAGTGCTCGGTGCTGGATGACTGAGAGCTGCTAGGGAAATGCTGTCACATGAAGCAGCCCAGCGAGGGAAGAAGCCTGGCTCTGGAGTCCCTTCGCACTCTGTGTCCACCAGCAGGTAATCTTACTTGTCTGAGCCCCAGTCTATCTGTAACCTGGGCATAAACACCTCCTTCCAAGGGTGGCTTTAAGGTCATGATGAAGTGGGTATGACCCCTCCCCCCAAGAGCCCTTTCGACTCTGTGTACTCCAGTGGCCCTGCCCCTGCAGTAGCTGGCGCACAGGGTACCTGCAGCTTGGCGGCCGTCACTTTGTGGTAAATGAGCTCCTCGTCCCAACGCTTCTCCTGGGGGATGGTGATATTGGCCAGCGCTGTCTCAAAGTCCAGGATCTGCTGCATCTAGGGCCAGATGGCGTCCTCATCCCCCCGGCCCAGCAGCTTCCCCAGCTGGACCATGTAGTTCAGGTATTCGGTCAGCACCTGTGGGACCCAGCACCCCAAAACTGTCTGTCAATGGCTGCCACCTGCCACCCAGTGGGCCAGGTGAGGCCGGCCCAGCTGCGGCCCTGTGCATAGGGCCCAGGAAACATGCTGGAAAACAGCTCTGGGGAGGATTCTGGCACTGTGTGTATTCACTGGTGTCCGTGGGGCTCCTGGTAAAGCCCACCGCCTCTGGGCACACACAGGTCCCCGAGGCTGGCCCCTGCTGCTCTGGCCCTGCCTTCAGGGCTCATCCTCAGCCATCTTCCTGTTCTGGAAATGCACCTTTTCTGAACCACCCTCTGCCACCACGTCCCTAGAGCTGAATCAAGTCCTGAATCAAGTCCCTCTGCCCTGATCACAATGTATACAGTTGGCATCTAGTTGGGTGGTCAGTTAAGTAATGTCTCCCTCTCCTACTGGACCTCGAGCCCCGTGGACAGGAGAGTGAACCTCAGGTGGGCCGGGCAGGGGAAGGGAGAGCTGTGAGGGGTTGGAGGTGATCTGGTTGTGGCTCTGGATCTCCCCACTTACTGGCTGTGTGACCTTGAACAGGTCACTTCTGTCTCTGAGACTTATTTCTTCCTCTGTATAGGGCAAGGTAAAACGAATATCCATTTGACAGATAAAGCAAATGATGTTCAGAGAAGCTGAGTGACTTTGTGGTGACTGGAAGGGTTAGAGGTGAGGTATATAAAAGGTCTGAGACCCTCAAATGGTGGAGGCTGCTACTGCACCTCTCTACAATGGGGACAAATGACACCTAACCCCTGCCCTTTGTGCCCACAGTGCCTGCATATGAACTAGCGAGCCTGGGGGCATCCCTCCTCTGACTGGGCTGCCTGTTGCCCATCAGGAAAGTGATACCCCTGTGTTCCCCCAGCTTCTAAGACCTGCCCAGGTATGCTGTGGAGGACACAGTGGGAGAACCACTGCAAAGTTCCACTCACCTTCTCGTTTTCAGTATTGTTCAGGTAGTAATCTCTGGAGGGCAAGCCCAGGCCAGACTGGTCCACCTAAAGAGGGAGGCAGAGTGAGAGGAAGGCCCTGCTGCAGGCTTGTGTGTCCCCTGTGGCCTCTGCCTGCCCCAGGACTTCTCACACCAGGCACTGAGGACCAGCTCACGTCCCAGCAGGAGCACAAGCCGGCAGCCGAAGTCACAGATGGGATCACTCAGTGATAAGACAGACACGTTCCTGCCCACCTGTGGGGTCAGCTGCAGGGACCTGGGCCCTTCTGAGGGCTGGACAGAGCCTCCTTCCTCTTCAAACACCCCTTGGCCTCAGCAATGCACTCTACTTCTCTAAACCCTTCCCAAGTGGCGAGGAGCCAACACAGTGACTTAATCTTAACCCAAGTTACTTAACCTTTCTGATCCCCAGGTTCCTCGCCCAGAAAGTTAGGGAGATAACACCTAACCTTCAGAGCTGGAATGAGGATTCAAGAGGACAGTGTCAGTACAGGGTTTCCTGAGAGTGGGGCAGGCAAAGGAGGGTCAATTCCTGATGGCTACCATTAGAACCTTCTGGCTACACCTTGCCTCAACTTGGGTAGCTGCTGTTATAGTTCATTAGGATGAAAAGGAAAGTGTAGCTCAGTGAGGTTGATGCTTGTTAAGGTCACACAGTGAGTGGCACAGTTGGGCTGAGAACTAAGCCTTTATGACCCCTAATCTGGGGACTCTCCTGGGTGTGCTGATCCTCAGCCTTGGGCAGGCTCTGGTGGGAGAGATGGACCAAAAGCATTCCAAGCAGCACCACAGAGCCAGAGGCTAAGGGAGGGGACAAAGAGGTGGCTACAGCTGTGCCCAGGAGTTGATATCACTTGTCATTTCTGTGGCCCATGATGAGCTGCCCAATGAGATGGGTAGTCTGCCCTCTCATAGTCTCTTGCCTGTAAAAATCTCACTGCTTGGGGCTGCCAGAAATAACCCCAGCTTAGAAACCAGAGCCTACTGCCACGGCCCAGGGCAGGTCTCCCTCCACCCCAGGAGGCCACACCCTTTGCTTCTCTGGCCCAGGCCTGCTCACCTGGATCACATTGCTATTGGAGTTCTTAGAGTCTGCACTGACATAGACAGAGAAGAAGGGTGAGGTTCGGTAGTGGGCAGTGACCACCTGCAGGGTGTCCTGGAAGTTGTCCTTGGCCCAGGGACTTGTGATATTCCAGCCTCTGAGCTGGAAGAAGGCAGAGCAGATAGGGAGGGGAAGGAGCCTATATGCAAATTCTGGTTCTGCAGCTGACTTGCTCTGTGACCCTGGAGAAGTCATCTGACCTCTGGGAGCGTCCAGAGCAAATGAAAGGGCTTCTGACCTGTGACCTGGAGACCCACGGATGGAGCAAAGACTCATCCTTAACAACTGAGCTGTGAATCCCAGAGACTTTGCCCCCTGTGTTGTTCATTTGTTGGACAATTAATCACACGAACGTGATTACTATTAAGACATAAATCCAATTGTGACTACGGGAAATAAGGCTCTGTATTTTGAAAAAGGCTGATAAGCTATGGTCTACCTTGGTCTCTCTCCAAGTTGGGACTTTAAAAAAAGTCTCTTTGGTCCTCCAGGATTGGCACACACTGGCACATGGGGCCTGTGCCAGAGAGGAGGGACTGGGAGAGTCCCCATGCCTGCAGCAATAACTTCCCCGAACTGAGATAGGATGGCGAGCCCTTGAGCAAGCAAAGGGTGGCCAGAAAAGCCGCAGCCATCTCTGTCTGTGCCAGGCAGCCTGGCCCAGAGGGAAGATTTCTCCTGGGCTCAGGAGCAAGGCGAGGCCTCCATCCAGCAGTTCTGGCTCTGTTGCTGGCCTAAGACTCCCTGTTGGTTTCTCTGGAACAACACACACCTCTCGCACACTCACACCCACCTCCTGAGGAAAGGGAAGTGGCAATCCAGAGGAAGAGATTCCCAGTGAATATCGTCCCCAAGGCCCACGCAGATGCACTTATACACTTAGATGTCCTCAACAGATGCTGACACACAACCCCACACATTACAACAGACAGTCCCCCCACACACAGACGTGCATGCACACGCAGTGGCAGACAGACAGGCTGCGTGTTCCAGCTGGGTGCGGAGGCTGGAGGTGTGGGGTGGATGAGCACCAGTGGGCCTGAGAGGTGCAGCCAGAGGGGCTGGCAGGAGGCACGGCAGGAGGGAGGCCAGAGTGTGTCCCAGGGACTCACCTTCTCAATCAGCTCCATCAGGGGCTTGGCCCTGAGCTCCTCGATCCTGGTTTCATTCATACATGCGCGGTAGTATACTTGGGCCTTCCTTTCTGCCTCACTCGAGCTGGCTGTGGAATTTTCTAGAAGGATAAGAGATAGCAGATATTGAATAAGCCCCCCTTTACCTGCTGGGGATCCCCAGGCAAGTTTGTTTTGGAGCCTCGGTGCTCCCCACTGTGAAGCTGTAAGGGCAGCTGCTGTCAGGGAGCAGCCAGCACCAGCGGGTATGAGTGCCCCCATCCTAGTTGGGTGCAGATCAGGAGGGCATGCCCTGTCTCTGCCCATCTGCTGATCAGGCCTGAGAACCTGTCCCTGGCATGGCAGCCCGGGCCCACCCAGCAGGACAGTCGACATCCCTGCCAGCCAACACGTGGCAGGAACTTCCCTGCCTGGTGCTGGGACAGAGCCATGTCTCGACTTCAGATCCCAGCTCACCTTCCTTGTGAGAAACACTGGGGTTGAGTGAAGCCTGAAAGGCCTCATTCACTGTGAATTGACTTTCCGCTTCCTCCTCGGGGGGGTCAGGCGCAGTCAACAGACCTGCGGACGACTCCAAGGGCTGTTTTCCCCATCCCTCCCCAACTCAGGCCAGCAGCACCTCATCCTCTTTGGTTCCCAGACCCCCACCCACCCACCCGGAGACCTGGAGGTCAAGGACACCACCTTCAAGCATGGCCTCCCTCCCTCCTTTGTTGAGAGGTTCCCCAACCAAGCTCAAAGTTCCTCCAGCAACCTGGGGTCCTGCTCACTGGCTTTCCCACAGCTGTGGGGTTTTGGTGTTTGGTGGCCACCAGGCTGGGTGTGGAGATGCACGGATCTGTCCGAGAAAGCTGGCAGCCCAGTGGTGAACAGATGGCAACTAAAGTCACAAGAGTGTTTGATTCCACACAGGGGAGTATGAAGAGAAGGTGCCGGAAGCCATGAGAGGATGATGGGAGAGGCCTGGGAAGGCGGCCAGAGGAAGCCCTGCTTGGGCAGGAGGAGGCTGATGTGGAGTGGGAGTGGGGCTGCATGGGCTGCCTCGCCCCACATTGTGTCTTAGTCATCCCTGTGTCCCCAGAACCTGAACAGGCACAAAGTAGGCCTTCAGCAACATGTGCTCAAAGAAGGGAGCTCAGCGTCCGTGTTTAACAAGGCAGGATGTCACCTCAGGGGAGGAGGGTGATGGGGCTGGTGTCACCCAGGATTTGCATGGAGAGGAAATGCAGGTATGTGCTGTGCTATGCCCCCTCCAGGGGCACCGCGCCTGGACCCCGCTTCAGCTCTGACTGGGGCAGGAGCCCTGGTGGAAGTTCAAGTTCCTCTTCCCACCTCTGCTTCCTGGAGCCCCCGGATTCTCCCACCCCTCTCCTTCCTCACTCAAGGGCTCCAGGGACAAGTGCTGAAGCAAGATGGCCAGGTGGAAGCCCCTGGAGTAGATCAAGTGGGCCAAGATGGGGGCATGGGCCAGCAGAGGAGGGGTGAGAGTATCAGAAATGGTGCCAGGCTTCCTCAGCCTGGGCAAGCAGCTGCCTTTACCAGGATGTGGAGCCTGGGAACCAGTGGCAAGTGAAGAGCGTCGGTCTGAAGTTCAGGTTCAGACACCTGGGGATCTCTACCAGACCCCAGAGTGGACCTCTGCCCTGGGCCTCAGCCACTGACTCGTGAGACCTCCAGTAAGTTACCCAACCTCTCACCTATAAATTGGGTGTGGTACTAGTAAGAGCCGAAGTGGGAACTGTTAGGATGAGATGTACACACACGGCCACACCCACACAAGGGTGGCTGGTCCCCAGAGAGGCTTAAGTGGCCTGGGTTCAAATTCCAGGAAGCCCAAGCCGCTGTGGGCTCTGCTCTCCCAGGCAGGTGCCTCCCCTCCCCTCCCTGGGCCTAACCTTCTCCCTGTCTCTGAAATGTGAGGATGATGCTGAATCCCCATGGGCTGTCCACCAGATCTCGGTGCAGGGTCTGGCCTGTAGTAGGCACCAGGAATGGCAAGGACACCTGGTATCCTTATGTATTTTCTCCTGCAGAACAAGGCGCCTTCTTTATCAGCTCCCGCTTTCCTCAGCAGGATGGGGCTCCGGAGGCCTGTGACTGTTGGAACTGAGTCCGTGGTTTTTATCTAAAACAAACACAGGTCCTGCACTGATTGCCAAGTGGGGGCCCCACATGTCCCTGGCCAGGCAGTCCTGCTGCAGCCAGGGAGACCATGAAATTCCTAGCCCCCATCCCGCAGCCTGCCTGGGTCACCGCTCTGCCCCACTGGGTCACCGCTCTGCCTGCCTGGGCTCGTTCAGGCTCCTGAGGAGTGATGTGGGAAAGGGCATTCCAATAAAAATTCCCAGAGGAAGAAGTGGCCCGATTAAATGGGATGCTGTCCTTCCTCTCCGGGACTTTGCGGAAGTGACTGGGGAAGTTTCTGGAACTCAGGGCCCCAAGAAGGAAGTATCCAGGCAGTTGGAAACTCTGTGGTCTGGTCTCAGGCTGCCAAACAATTTCTATGCCCTTGGGACCCCAGAGTGGCCCTGTCCCCAGAATGTGCCCCGCACGGAGCCAGCATTTCAGAGACACAGCCTGCCACAGAGGGCAGGAAGATGAAACAGCAAATGCGGGAAACATAAAAACAAAACCATGAGCTATGACACAGGGTGACCTGATTCGTTGCCAGATCAGTGACGTGGACACATCTCATGCTGCTGGAATAGCGTGCTTGTGTAGATTGGTGTTTGGGATAGAAGGAAGGAGGCTGCAAACTTTTCCTTATGATCCCGGTATTGCTTGAATTGTTACAAGTTTGCATTATGTTTTTTTGTTATGCAAAATATATATGATATTGTAGATATTGTAGAATAAACCTGGCAGTACCACGATGTTGCTCAGGCCCTAAGAAGCCCTTGGAAGATTCAACAGAGGCAGTGGGTTGAAGGGGTCTTGAAGGGCCGGGTGGGGGCACTCTAGAGACTGGATCCAAGCACAGTGGGAAAGCCTCAGGCAAGGGCCAGGCTAAAGAGTGAGGGGCCTGTCTGTTGGCTTCCTCGATGATGTGAGGCCACACTTTTTTTTTTTTTTTTGGTACCTGGGACTGAACCCAGAGTCGCTTAACCACTAAGCCTCATCCACAGCCCTTTTTACTTTTCATTTTGAGACAGGGGCTCACTAAGTCACTTAGGGCCTCGCTAAAGTGCTGAGGCTGGCCTCGAACTTGTGATCCTCCTGCTTTGGCTTCCCAAGTGGCTGGGATTACAGGCCTGCGCCCCTGTATCTGGTGAGGCCACACTCTTGTCTCCCCTAAGTCCACAAGGTAGTGCTTGTATGTCTCTTGGGGGAGAGGCAGAGTGCAGTGAGGCGCCTGTGTTCTGAACAGCTGAGGTCGCACCCTCCAGCAAGCAGGCTGCGAGGAGGATACACTACAGTGGCCCCGGGCCTAGTTCAGCCCACCTGCTCCAGGTCTCTGGATTTCCTGAGGGGCCTGGGGTGAATTCACCCATGAAAGAAACACACGGCTTGCCCAAGCTCACTTGGCACATGGATGGTAGTTGCTGTCCTCTGGACCAGTGGACGCCATCCTTGCTGGCATTGCAAATATCTTTTCCTCTGTCCATCTAGAAAGAAGTCTGTTCTGGGTGACCTCAGAGGAGCCTGAGCACTCTCTCTTTTTCCAGTGTCCACCCAGGTATCAAGGCCCCAGGTATCGAGGCCCACAGGTGAGGGGCTGTTCTAGACTAATCCCCAGGAGTAACCCTGATGGAGACGGGACCCCAGGATGTGCCTTCCAAGCCTCTGGTCAGTGTGATGCGAAGGTGACCCCAGTACTGAGTCAGGCCTAGGCCAGGGCTTGGCTGGCCTGCAAAGCTCAGCCAAGCAGCCACTGCAGATGGGAGCCGTGAGGCCGGAGGCTCTGCTCAGCCAATCTCTTGAGCAGCATCACTCGGGGCCTGCCGGTGGGGAATCTGACTTCAGGAGAGCCAGGAGACAAAGGACAGAAGTTTTGAGGCCCCCTAGCTGATCCCAGCTCTACCTTTTCCTGGGAAATACACTTCTTTTGTCTTTGTGAGTCTCATCTGTTAAATGGGAATATACTGGTGCCTACTTGAATGTACCACGGGAAAAAAATGAAGTAACCCAAGGCCTTGGTGGCGGGGACGTACCTGTACTGCCTGCTCTGGAGCCAGGTCCGCGTCAGTGCTTCCCTGAGAAATAAAATAAGCAGAGATTCTTTCCCTTAGAGCATCCTGATTAACCACGTGAGCTAGACGCCACTTCACAGGTGGAGAGCTGAGGCCTGAGAGGCTGGTGGCCCTCTGCAGTCACACAGCTTGTCAGGATGAAGTCCGGTTGGAACCCACCCCACCAAGAAGGGTGCCTATGCCCTGCTGAGCCCTCGGTGGGTGCCAGGCCCTGTGCGTGGCCCTCTGAACCACACGTCCCAGTCAGTGTCACAGCAGACTCACTCCCGGTGGCACTGGCTCCTCCATTTCACAGAGACTGGAGCTACAGTGGAGAGAAGCAGGTCACTTGGCAGCGACCAAGCTCGCAGGCCAAGGCCACCAGACTTCGCAGCTCTCTGGTCTGCCTCCTGATACCATCAGCCCCTGGCCCTGGGGTCAAGGGTTTGATAGCCTAGTGCCGGCTGTTCTGTGCCCGGCTCAGAGCAGCTTTCCATGTACAACAGGACTCTCAGGGACACGGTGAGGTAAGGCTACGGTCCAAGCCTGGAGGCCACTCCTCATGAGCCCTGCCAACGTACAGGGAACAGGACAGGATGGATCCAATCTTGGCACAGGTCTAAGGTCCTCCCAGTAAGAATCAGCTCCAGGCCAGTGGGAGGCCAGCGCCCTTGACCACAAAGCAAAAGGAGTGGTTCTGGGCCTAATTGCCCATCTTTCTTCCTCCCCCCCTCGATGCTATCTGCCCCCCAGAGCACAAGCCCCATTCTATTCTGGAATGAAGGTCTGTTCTTGGCAAAATCATTTCACATTTCTGAGCCTCAGTTTCCTCATCTGTAAAATGGGAACGATAATCCCTAGTTCCAGGATGTTAACGAGAATTAAAGAGGCAGTAGATATAAACAGCCTAAAACATAACAGACACTCAAAAACTGCCAGTGTCCTTCCCACACTTCTTCAGCCCTCAGTGTTCTGTGCTCCCTTCAACACAGTGACAAGGGAGCTATGTCTGTCCCTTATACCTGAGGAGAGGGCATGGGACAGGGGAAAGGGCACAGGACCAGAAATCAGGCCAACTATGAGCCTATCTTGAGGACCTCTCTGAACCTCAGTTTTTTCATCTATCAAATGAGGTGAACGATACCTCCCCAGCTTCCACCCTACAGGATAAAATGGGATGACAGTTCAAAAGCGTTCTGACAACCGTACAGTCCTGTGCGGGGATTAATGTGAGGAATGAGAGTACTACCACCGCAAAGAGCAACCACCACGTGCAGACTGAGGAGAGCTCTTTACTCATATTTTCTCATTAAATTTTATAACCTGGAGGAGCGCGGTTGCCAGTGTGTCAATGAAAAATCAGGCTCCGGGACTGGCCCAGACCCCACAGTGAGAGTCAGCACTGAACCCAGCCCACCTCGCTACATGTCTGGACCACCCGCTGCTTCGTTATGGTCCTGCCAAGGCCCTGGCTGTGTCACTGGGCTCTGGGGAAGGGACTGTCCTGAGTTGTAGCCTTGAAACCACAGACATATTTGCCACTTGAGCTTCCAGATCTGAAACAAAAGGCAGCACCCCCTTTGGAAGACACTTTTGGTGGCCTCAGATGGCCCGGGGCCATCTCAGGCTGGGACTTGGCCATCTTGGCCTGCAGATTCCTTCACTCCACGTTCAAGTACCACCCTGCTCCATCCCTGGGGGGCCAGCAGGAGGCTGTCGCTGCACTGGGTGCTGAGGGGCATCCCACCCAGGAAATGCCCGGGTCAAGGAGAAAGGACAGGCAGGTTTTACCTGGTGGCAGCTGTGCCGCAGCACGAGGCACGAGTGAGTCAAGGACTCCTTCACCTGTGTACATGTTCCCACCTTCACCAAGAGCCCCAGCTGCCTTGATTTCATAATTGTCAAATTAGAATCATTTCCTGTCTTGTAAGGAGATGACTGTCCTTTTGAGAAGATTTGTCCCCTCTCAGGTAGCTTCTTCATTTTACCTACCTTGGGTGTCTTGAGTGGTTTTCAAAGAGTTAATGAGTATTTGTCAGAGCCAAGGTCTGTCCAGCATGGCTGCATGGATTGTTTTTTTCATAATCTGGCCCTTCCCAGCATTTAGGGTCCCAGGACAGGGGACAGCAAGGGGCAGCAGGAAAAGATCCCTACTGCCAAGGGGTTTGAGTCAGGATTGGGGTGCAGCCTGGCGCTGCAACTCCCTCTGGGTTCCATGGGACTGATGAGAATTCAACAACATGAACCAGAAATCCAGCTGCACACAAGGCAGGCGGGGGATTGGAATCTGAGGATGAAACCATCAACACCAAAGTCAAAAGTACTTTGGAGAGTCTGTGAGGCCACGGAAGGCCCTGCCTACGTGGACAGCTTAACTCTCTGATAAGCTGTTAGAACTTTCGTTGGGCCGTAGCCTTAAAGTCTGATGTGGTATGTCCAGCCTCAACTCCATTTGCTCACAGCTTTCAAAACTCAGTCAATGCTAGCCAAGGACAATGCTGCATCCTGAAGCCACAAAATAAAATGACCACAGCTATCAGCTCCTGTGTGCCTGGTATATGTCACAGATAAGCTGATGCATCACAGTGTGTTCTGTAGTGCTCAAAGCCCTGCATGATTGTAATCTCAGCTACTTTGGAGGCTGAGGCAGGAGGATTGCAAATTTGAAGCCACCCTGGCTAATTTTGCAAGTACCCTGTTTCAAAACTTTGACAAAGCACCTGCCTAACATATGCAAGGCCCTGAGTTTGATTCCCAGCACCTCAAACAAAACAACTCTACAGTTTGGATGTTATTAATGCTGTTACACAAAGAAACTGAGACTAGAGATGAATAACTCACACAGCAGGGCCCCACAGTGAGTGACAGGGCAAAGCCCCTCCTCTGACCAGGCCTGGCTGGCAGGTGCAGTAGGTGGCGTTCCCTGCAGCCCATTCCTTAGTGTCCCCATTGGTGCTTACCCAGCAGGTACTTTATGATGGCTTGATTGTGTTCCCAGAGGTTGCTGAAGGTCCCCCAGTGTGAGTGGCCATCAGGCACGGGGTTGGCCTTGATGCAGCCCCCACAGGCATAGCTGAAGAAGTCCTGGCAGGGGTCCACTGTGGGGTCCATGGAGTTCAAGATGGAGCTGGTCACTGAGACGCAGGCCTCGCTCAGGCACACTGGGGGTGTTCCTGGAGGGGTAAGGGAAAAAAGTCAGTGATGGGCAGGGAGGAGGGTTGGGGAGGGCAGCGCAGGTAGCCTAGGGCCCCCAGCACACAAGTTCCACCCTTTCCCTGACCGAACAGACTAGGAACTGGATAGTCACTAGACCCAGAACAAGAAAGGGTTCAGCAGCTTCATGATCTCCTGGTTTGTGAAATAAGACTTCTGCCCATTGCCTAAAGTCCCTTCTGTGGCTTAAAAGAACCCAGAGCCCAGGTGCTTTTTTCTCTTTCTAGGGATTGAATCCAGGGGCTCTTCACCACAGAGCTATATCCCCAGCCTTTTTACTTTGAGACAGTTTTGCTAAACTGAAGGTGACTTCAAATATCCTATCCTTTTACCTCAGCCTCCGACATAATCTGGGATTACAGGAGGGCACCAGCACACCCAGGGGTGCTTTTCCCTTAATCAACACTTCCTCCACAAAGACTCTCTAACTTCTTATTATTCCCTGATGCTCAACACACTTATCCACTCATTCACGTACTCAGCTACTCCACAAAATCAATACTGAGGCCCTTTGCCGAGTACAGAGTGTGTGTGAGGCGGGGAGACAGGAGGCAGTCTTTCCCTTCAGGAGCCGACCCTTTTCTGTTGGGGACACACATGTTACATAAGCAAAGTCAAAACACACCAAGAGAAACTGCCACTTATTTACAAAACTAAACTGAACGTTGACTAGGAGCCAACTGGGAGATGCGGACATATGGTACTAGGACTCAGGGACAGGGAAAGACTGGGAAAAGCCATTCCCTTACCAGGCAGGAGAGCTGTTTATCCCAATTGGGGGGGGGGGTGCGGGTTGGTGGCTGAACAACCCTAAACCAAAATAATAAATAAATAAACAGAAACAACCTGAGAGGCTGGTTTGCCAAAGGCGTGAGCAAGGGCTGGACCCTGCGTCAAGGCTGTCTGATGAGCTCTTGCAAGGGACCAATCTGGCAGGTCCCCAGAGGCTCATGGCCTGCCCACAGGAGCCACCCAGGCCACAGGGGGGACTGCTTCCTGAACAGGCTGGGCACCAGGATCACCACCCACGTTCACGGTCTTTCAACCCTTGCTCCAGCGTCAGATGCGGATGAGATATCCCTGAGGAAACTGAGGCTCTGAGAGAGCGACCAGATCAAGGTCATCCAGCCGCACAGGAGAGCTGAGAGCCAACGCTGGCCTGTCCTGGCCCAGCAGCCCCAAGGCCGTGTTTTCCTGCTGTCCGTCTCCTCTTTGGTGGCCACAGCAGGGGCTGAAGTGGCCTGATTGGCAGGGTTGGTTCTTTCATCACACAGGGAGGCAGTGAGGCTGGGTAGCTTTGGAGACTGGTAGATCTGGGTTCAAATCTGGTGCAGAGACCTCCTGTACGAGCCTGGGTTGGGGGCGCAGCTCGGCAGTATGCATCTGCCACCGAAGGCTGAAGCTAACCCAGTGGGCAATCTACCTACTCCCATAGCGTCCTTGAAATGCCCTTGGTGGCAGCAATATTTGGAGGCTTTCGCTTGGCCTATAGTCAACAGGGAACAGCTCAGGGGGCTTCAGAGTCTCCCCCAATTTACAACTAGAGTCAACAGAATTGAGCTGACTCCTGAGAGCAGAGTAGCCACCCAGGGCTGCAGCCAAGAACTCCAGGACTGACCTGTGGTGGACTCCCAGCTGCTCGCCATAGACGTCCTCAGCGGGCGCCCCCTGGCGGCTGCGCGGCGCTCCCAGGGTCCTCCGCTGCTCACAGGAAAGGCTGTGCATGCACGGCGCGCGGGGTGGAGCCTCTTGCAGACAGATGGAGGGCCGAGTGCCGGGCTTCCAGGCGAAGGGCCAACTGGAGGCCGTGAGGACGCGGGTGCAGGGGCAGGACTTACGGCAGTGCGGCCTGACAGGTAAGTGGGCTGCAGGAGAAGGGCCGCCCAGACGCGCCACATGGTGCACTCCAGGTTTTCGCAAGCCGAGTCTCGCGAAAGGAGGTTTTCCCGCGGGTGCCGGTGCTTCCCCTCCGCCGGTAGGGCGTGGAGCTCGGCGCGAGGCACTTCCGGTAGCCGGGCGGTGGGCGAGGAAACGTGCCCGATGGGGCGCGAAGCCCGGGTCCTGGGCTCCGGCTGTGCGGGTGGCGCTGCGGTAGGACTTGGAAGACGCACCGCCCCTTTGACTCTCCTGACGGAGCCTGCGCCGGGCTGCAGGTGGCTGGCCCCTGGGTGGTTCTCCCCACGGCGTTCGGGTCACTCACGCCCGCGCCGTCCTGCGCGGTCAGTCGGGGTCCCGTCCTGCCCTGGGGAGCCACCACTGCGACCCTCACCGGCCTCCCCCGCCCCGTTCCTCACGGGAGCCCGGGACCGTCGCGGCGCCCGTGGGAGGCGGAGTCGCCGTCAGTCGTCTCGCGGAAGCGCTGATGGAGCGCGGGGGGCGCGGACCACGGCAGGACG